CTCTCTCTCTCTCTCTCTTTCTCTCTCTCTCTCTCTCACACTCTCTCCCCCTCCCTCTCCCTCCCCATCTCTCTCTTTCTGTCTCTCTCTCCTCTATTTTCCTCTCCCTCTCTCCCCTCTCTCTTCCTCTCCTTCTCACACACAGACATTTCTGGTATTAGGTTTTCTTTTTAAGCTTTTTTTTTTTTTGCCAATCAACAAACACAACTGAAGGGGGCCTCCAGCAGATTCTACTTCTTTTCTTCCCCTCCGTTGTTCCTATCTATCTATCGTCCGTTTTCTTTGCACTGACTGACCGTTATTGTCGACGTGCTTGCTTTTTCCCCTGCACCAAATGGCAGATATTTTTGTGAGGCAGCGTGGTGGAATCAGGCTCTCGTCAAAATAATCAAAGTGAAGAAACTTGCATTTTTCCGCAGGTTTGTGAATTTTTATCAAATTTTTGTTTTTTTTGGCTCAGCACCTCTCATGCCCATTAAAAAACTCATTTCCGAGTGGATTTTTCTTAAAAACGTTGATTAAAGGCTCAAAAAAATGTAAATTTTCAGTTACCACGGACTCCTAAACTAAGGAAATAACTAATCTTTGGCAGCCATTTTCTCACTTATTTAACCTCTGAAAGCAGGTGACCCCCACCTCCTTCATTCGCAAATATCTTGACTTGCATTCAAGATAAATTATTGATATTTTTTCCATCCAAACAAAGACAAGTGAACAAACTTTAAGATGATATCAATAACTCTACATGCCCAAAATTTGACGAGAGGCTGATTCCACCACGCTGCCTCACAATTTTGTCAACGTGCTCGCCCTTTCCCCGCGCTAAATGGCTGTTATTGTATCGGTGCGCTTCTCTTTCCTCAAACAAACTTCTTTCACCTCGTCCCTCCCACACAGGTGGGTGATTGGCGGGTGCTCTGACTGGTGTGGTTTACTCCTTCTTTCCTATCAAACATCTATCGTCCTTTTCTCTCCTCCTTCTTTTTTGTGTTTGTTTGTTACTCTCTTATAACACCTCTAATCTTCGGCACTTATAATATGACCTTATTGTATTGCAAATGCCGTAAAACTCTTACAAAATCTTACTTTCTTATCCCTCCTTCTCTCCTTCTCTTTGTATGTTACTCTCTCTCTCTCTCTTGTAACACCTCTAATCTTCGGCACTTCCTTATTGTGTTGCAAGTGCCCTGAAACTCTTACGAAAACTATTAAAAAAACTCACTCCCCC